CCAAGGACTGTCCGATAGCGAATTTGGAAAATTTATCAATGCACGTTAATAAGACTCTCTTATCGGTCGAAAAAATGTCGAAATGCAACATAGGAAGGGATAGGCGTAGTTCCTAATTCCTGCTTTTTGGGATGGCGGTCGTACTTGGCTTTATTGCAGACCTTGCAATTTGCGACCACTTCGTAGCTAATTTGGACATGTTCGGAAGTAATAATCACGGAGGATTTGTTCTACGTTCTCCTGGTAGCCCCATGGCGCGACTGCGCTCGGTGTTAGGATTTCAAGCTGTTCATGAGCGTTGGTTATGTCGCTGACGAAGGTTTTACAATGCCAAGTTTTGTCGCAGAAAATTCCTGTCTAAGGGCATGTTGGATACGAGCCACGGTAGGGAAATCACAGTGAATCGCGTTCACAGCGTTGGCGTTGATGATTTCTTTAACAGATTCAACAAGCGAGTCCTAGTTATTAAAACTAATGATGTGGCGGGTTTTATTTCCGAAGATTATGAATCCTGCAAGCGGTTGTCCTGCTTCTTCCAAAATGATTTAGTTTCTAAAGCAGTTAAGAGGTTTGTCTGTGGTTTCTATGGTGTATGTGGCCACATCGGCCAGGGTTGCCTCGATAGCGCGTCAGCTGCCAGGTTTTGCTTCCCGGTGTGTAAAACACTTTCCCATTGTTCTCATCAAGAAACGCTTTCATCGCTTAATCTTAGCGTTGGTATTTTTGTCGGATACCGCATATGAGAGGCTGGTGGTCTGCAAAGATCCATACCTCCTTGTCACCGTATATGTAGTTTTTTGAGTTTGTTTATTGCCCAGACTATCGCCAACAACTCTTTCGTTGGTGGCGTAGTTCAGTTCGCAGTCTTTTAGCGTGCGTGAAATCATTGTAATAGGTCTTTTATTCTGGGACAGTACCGCGCCTGTTCCACTCACTGAAGCGTCGGTGGTTAAGTCAAACGGTAGTTTAAAATCAGGGTATGTCAATATGACATCTTCCGATGCCAAAATGTTTCGAAGGTGATCGAATGCATTTCGCTGGGTTTCATCAAACCTGAAAGCTACTTTTTTTCGACATATTCTTGCTGGCCGTCCCGTTTTCCCTTTAAGGATGGCAGTAAGAGGTCTAGCAATAGAGGAAACATTTTTACAAAGCTCCTGTAATAGCTCGCCAAGCCGAGGAAAGACCTGAGGCTAAACAGATTTCTTGGCTCTGGGAATTCGTTTATTGCCCTGACTTTTTCTGTGTCCGTTCTTGTTTCCTTGACAATAAATCCTAAAAATTCAACGCTCTCTTTAAAGAACTTTGTTTTTCCCGTGCCACCCACATGTTGGCATCGAGTAAGCGCTGAAGCACTGTGTCAATGTGCTTGACATGTTCATTTTCGGAAAAGATGATAACGTCGTCAACGTAGACGTAGCATATTCGCCGATGGCTCTTTGTAAAATACTCCCTGCGTTCTTTAGGCCGAAGGGTAGTCGGCAAAATTCGTATTTCCCACCAATAACTGAGAACGAGGTCTTCTCCCGGTCCTTTTCAGCCAGGTATATTTGATGGTACCCTGACCTTAAGTATAGGGTGGTGAAGAATTTAGCTTTCCCCAAGTTCGGTAGAATCATGGGTATGCTTGGCATGGGGTAGCGATTGGCGATTGTTAGCTCGTTTAACTTCCTGAAGTCGATTACTAATCTCTTCTTCTTGATGCCATTATCGTCAGTCCCTTTTATGTCAACCACCCAGGTAGGACTGTTGTATGGGGATCTGGACGGCTAATTATGCCATTCTGCAGCACCTCCTTGATTTCTCGCCTCGTTAGGGGTCGAAAACACTTTTTCAGAACGATATTCTTGAATTTGGTTTTAGCCGAACTTGGCACCACTATATCATCGATTTTTGTGAAATTGACGTTCTGACTGTCAAAAAATTTGAGCTTTTCGGTGACGTTCGCGTAGTTTATTACGCTGTTGCCTAGGTCCAATGCTACTCCTGCTCGCGTTAGCGAATCGATGCCTATTATAGCATCGAACGTGCTCAATGTATCCAAGAGAAAAATGGGACGTCTAGTCCAAAAACACGCATTATGCACTTGTTTTTAAAGTCACTGGAGCCGTGAATAGAGCTCACAGTGAAAGGGGTCTCGACCGGCATTACGTTTCTTAGCTCTTTTACGGGGTTCACGTAATTTTTTGCCACCCCCGTGTCGATGAGAATTTTTACTGTTCTGCCAGCCAACTGTTGCTCGACGAACGGCAGTCGGGAGCTCTTCCTAAAAATTGGAGCAGGTCGTTAAGCTCGGCGGTGTCGCTATCTTCCTCAATGGTGGCAACTACAGCCTCAGCTGTGGCGGCATAATCTGTTAGTTCCTGTTGGGGCTGGGCTATATTATTGAGACGTTGGCGTCTTTGGCCCGATTCCCGCTGGGAAGAGTTCTGCTTTTTGTAATTGTTATTACTTTGTGGCTTTCCCCAGCTTGTTCCTTGTCTAAATTTATACGTTAAGGGGTCTATCTCCATGCGCTTCGGCCAGGGATTGTCCTCATGAGGCCTGCCTTGGTTCTGCTTAGGAATGTAGTGCCGATTTTCGTCCTCCCCGCTCTATTGCTTTCCCTGACCTTTATTGTTGCGCCTTATGCCCTCATTGAAAGGGGCCTTGTCTTCTATAGCTTTCGCGTAAGATGCCGCGAAAGCACTTCTTTCGATGCTGTTCTCGGCTTCCACTAACGCTAGTGCAGACGGAAGGTCTTTGGGTTGTGCTGGTAGCACGAGGGACTTGAGTGGTCTTTTAAGCCCTGCAATGAATGCATGAAGGGCGTCATCTCTAACCTCCTTATTTAGGACGGTTGCTGTGTCCGTGTTGTGCGACATGACTATTTTGTTGGTGACGAGCGTGAGTTTCCTCTGGACCTCGTCATAGTATGTTAATGATGACAACGGCCTCGTAGTGGGCTTCGCTGCCGTCGTATTTTTTGAATACTTCGTATGCTTCTGATGCAGCCTGCCTCCACGAAACGTACTCATCGTGGCTTCCATTGAACGTCGCATCTTATTTCAGGGTTCGGCACTGCTTTCGCCGCTCAGGAAGAACGTTTGAAAAGCTTATTCGCCACAGAATTAGAAGCGATTAGAACACAGGTTAGCGCGCTGACAGTGCAAGCGCCGCAAGTAGAGATCTATACTGCTGCTGGTTCTACGTCTTCCGATTGTTCAAAATCTATAAGCCTTTGAACCAGTTCGGCTCTTTTGCCGAAAACTGACACTCGATCGTAGCAGGAACCTTAACTCGTCGCCTTTAAGATCCGCTATTCTTAGCATTATTCACTGTTCTCGAGTTTACTTTTAGCTAAATTGGCAGTTCTTTTGTGCGAACGTGTCAATAATAACCACCTCGTGAGCGAGACAACTATACATATGTACCTCGCGAGGCTTGCATGTGCTTGTGAAATTCACCAACACACACAACTCATGTGTATGTGCTCTGGCTTCCTCTGCTTTGCTACCACGGTCCCACTAAGATTCCCGATCCTTCTGCTTGGTTCCAAGAGTTCATATAGATTCCCGATCCTTTTGCCTTGAATCCGTCTGCCACGTAGAAATGGAACACATCCGTTTTTTGCAATTTCCTTGGTCACATAGACCTTTGGGAACACATCCCATGGCAAACATTCCATGCCGATGATTCTTGCTGCTTTTCCTGGAATTCTAGCACAACTTTTCCGATCCACGCATATCCAACCTCAACTATCCCACTTCTGAACCGTAAAGGCCGCGTGCCCCGATTCCAACGGGATCCCTGGCGACATCTGCTTGTCCTTCACTTGCGCTTGAATTCACCAGCTCCTATTGTAAATGTGCAATCCTTTCCATTAGGGCCTACACTTCTACAGTCGTGGAGTCCGTAATCTGCCCCGATGGATCGGGCTACAGGTTACTTGCCGCTTTCCTGGCGGCTGTTCCACTTTCCTTTGGAGTATGAGGCCGCTGCCGATCACAAGCCACCCTTTCAGAGCTGGCCTGGTTGCCAGTTTCTGTGGCTGAGGTGGTCGCAGTGGCGGGAACACCCGCGACATCCAGTCTGGGGCACCGCCGGGGCGATTGCTTTGTGGGCATCATCTCGCAGAGTGCGAATAATGTAATGACGCCGCTCGGCCAATCACGGGGAAATGCCTTCAGAACACAAGTTGAAGTCGCCGTTAGATTAACGATAACAAGAAAAACAAGAGTGTGTGTTGGAAATAGTGGTTAGTGTGTTATTCTGAAATATGTACGAGGTGTGTTCAAAAAGTAAGGTGACTCTTCAAATTTCGCGAATTTCAAATTTTTCGATTATCGATTTTTTTGTTTTGTTATATTGGTACACTCTTCCCTAACATCTGTACCAAGTTTCAATGGAACATCCTCTTTTGTTTGGTTGTGAGAGGCGTAAAGTTACAAGTTATTTTGCGAGCTCGGCGATTTTTTGCTATCGAAAAATATGGATCAAAGGATTTGGATTTTTTGGCCAAAAACAACACCACAATAATGCCTCAGCCACCATATTCACCGGATTTGGCCCCATGTGACTTTTTCTTGTTCCCAAAACTGAAGATAATCGAAAAATTTGAAAAATTTGAAATTTGAAAAGTCACCTTACTTTTTGAACACACCTCGTATAACTTCTAAAAGGTTTCGATAATCGAAAAATTTGAAATTCGCGAAATTTGAAGAGTCACCTTACTTTTTGAACACACCTCGTATATATATATGTTTATCCGCTTATGTGCCTGTGCAGTAATGCTTATTACACAGCTGCACAGACTAAACATATTGACTTCACCAAATTCGTGTCTAATGCTTAAGCTTACCAGAAGCGAATAGAGATAAGAAAGAGACAAGGAAAAAAAATCTATTTTTAGAATTCGCTTTCCGATAAGAAGTGCAAGTTGGACAAATTTTAGTAAAATACAAAAATTTATTAGTTTTTATTTAATTTCAAGAACATTAACTTTTGCACTGAGTCTTCGGCAAGGTTGCATCTTAGATCAGTAATTACTAATTTAAGGGCCGAAAATGCCCTTTCAACCGATACCTGCGTAGCAGGCACAGCAAGTACTACCTGAGCCAGACGGTACAAGCGTGGATACGTGAATTTTTTCGACTCCCAATAGCTCATGATATTCACGCTTGGATCTATGGGCTTCGGTGAATATCCATTTATTATTTATCCAATTTTAGCTCGGGTTCATCATCGTCCTCAGAGTCTTCGCTTCCAGAGCTCACCGCAAATGAATTTAAATAATCATTTAATAATGAGCATGTACTCTGGGACGTTAGTTCAGGGCAATCGTTCGGTTGTGAAAAAGATGCTTCAGACGTAGCAGAATCAGCTACTATTCGGTCTTCATAGATTGGGTTTTCCTAGTAAACGAGTAAAAGAGTGTAATTAATTATAAAGTAAGTATGAGAAAGATCATTCAGCTTACTGGTCTACTTATTGCAAGTATTTTTCGCATCAGTCCCAACAAATGATTCCTCGCGGCTGCCAGCTGAATCGGATTTTTAACTATAATCCGCCGAAGTCTGGGATCCAAATAAATTGCAGAAAGAATAACTTCATTCGTTACAAGATTATTCTCTCGACTCTCTAAGCTTTTGACAAGATCTTCCCTATGAATATTGCTGCTCATAGAATTAATCATTAGTTTTGTCTCCAACAAAAGCTTGAAAAAGTCGCCAAAATAAAGCTGTTCGCTCTGCAATTTTTTGGTAGCCACGGATATCGGCTCCAGCACAGACAGCAGTGCGAATTGGCGAATTGGTGGCAAGTGTTGGTGTATGAATTCCTCGTAAATGCATACACTTTTCAGCATCTCGTATGTCGAGCTCCACCTTGTTGGCACATCATTTATGGGCAGCGGTAACGATGTTGCAGCAATTGCTAACCTAAATGTAGTATATGTTTTATTATTAAAATAATTAATTAATTAAATTGAAAATCTTACCTGAAAGTCGGTGTTCGCAATGTCTTCACCAGTTTTCGGGCGTTTTCCACAATTTCGCTCCTCTCATCGTTATTTAAAAAATCTTTGACGGCCAGTTGCAAGGAGTGAGCAGCACATCGTATAGAAGCGATGGAAAAAATTCTTACTTCTTGCACTAGCTCCTCATTTTCATCCTCGGAGCTAAGCGCACTTTCGGGGTCTTCATTTAAATGCTCTATTGCCTTCAAAATATTTTTGCCATTGTCGGACGTGATGGTATAAATTTGCTGCTTAGAAATTGAAAAATCTGCCAAAATATTTTCAATTTCACTGCTCAAATTGAGCCCAGTATGTTTTTGATGCAGCTCAATAACACCTAACGTCTTGATCTCAATGGCTTTATTATGATAATATTGCACGTTTAAGCCCAGTATGCCTTTGGAATGCCTTGAAGCGATGTCAATTTTCAGCGAAACGACCTTATTTTTTAGACGGCTTATTAACAAGGCCTTTTCGCGTTCATACTTCTCCGACACATGCTGCATAACATTCCGCGCTGTTACGGGAGTCATTTCCAACCCCTTAAAAATTTGCTCCGTCAAGGTCTTAAAAGGTGCAGAATCAAACATTTTAAATGGCAATTTTTCGTCCGTCACAAACTGCACGCAAGCCTCTTTCACTTCACTGGGCGACATCTTTATGACAATTTTTTTTTTCTTTTCCACGGGCTCACTGCTCTGCTGGCTTAACTCAGATGAGTAAGCTTCGGCATGCCGGTCTAGAAGATGCCTCCTTAAGTTTGTAAAGTATGAGCCCTTAAAAGGGCTGTTGCAGATTTTACACTTTGATTCATGTTTTTCGAAATTAAAGTCGAAAAAATCGCGCACAATAGCATCACGTTTACGTCCCATTGCAACCAATTTACTTGTGAAGCAAAGATCAACGCATAATAAAATTTGTCCAACTTGCACTTCTTATCGGAAAGCGAATTCTAAAAATAGATTTTTTTTCCTTGTCTCTTTCTTATCTCTATTCGCTTCTGGTAAGCTTAAGCATTAGAGACGAATTTGGTGAAGTCAATATGTTTAGTCTGTGCAGCTGTGTAATAAGCATTACTGCACAGGCACATAAGCGGATAAACATATATATATATATACATACTTATTATATACCATCTGAAAGGTATTGATGTGTAGATCATATATATACATATATATTGGATCTGGCTTCTACGGTTCAAAAGATATATAGATTCAATCTTTATTTTCAATTTTTAAAATAAAAGTTATCGAATAATTCTTATTTTTCAATTTATATAATAAAAATTGAAAATAAAAGTTATTGCGTAATTTTTATATAAAAATTGATACTTAATAATTATTACTAATTTTTAATTATTAAAATTAATTTTAATTATTAAATATCAATTTTTTTCGTAAAAATTAAGAAATAACTTTTATTTTGTAATTTTTTGCTTTTTTAATTATAACCGTTACAGTCCCTGTTTAAAAGTCAAGTTGGTCTGCATGGTTGGACTTTGACTTAAGGGCAAATAAGTAACTAATTATAAGGAGTCATGACAATCATGACATGTTGGTATTCCAGGCCAACTTCTAAAATATATCCTACAATAAATACATTACAATATATATTTTAATTTCTTCTGCAGTCATAAATAAAAAACCCTGAAAGTGATAAATGTTAAATTATAGCCCATCCCTATGAATTAATTACATCAATGTAACTTAAGAAGTTATTTAGTTCACTGGGACCTTAAGTATTTCATATTTACTAAGAAAATTTATATATACAAAAATTTATATACATGTAACCATTTCTGAAGACATATTTCTAGGTAAAGCTTTTAGGAATCCCTAATAGTCTGTAATCTTCAGACCTACAATTTTCTTCGCTAAGAGAATTGTAAAAACTATCAATGCTTCGAAACTGGGTATCATTAAACTTATCAAAACTGTTAAGTAGTCAATCCGAAAGATACCCCTCGTACGCATTTGTCCCCAATTTTTTCCAGAAATTTTGTAGAAAGAATTTTAAAATCTCAATCTTGTATGTATCTTGATAAATTTTCCAAACTAAAATTCAGAAGCCGAACTGAATCTATATGCCTAATTGTAATTTGTGTGTGCTCGGAAAACTTTGTCCTTACTTCATATATATATATGTCATATTTTCCAGAAAATTGGTCGAAGTGGTTCTGCAAGTCGCCATCGTTGATTGCCTTTAGTATTAGTATTAGTAAATGCTCAAGTTTAAACACCCCTGGTTTAGAGGCTCTATATTCTGTCATACCACGTTCTATGATTTCATGTAAATTTGGTTGACAAAACTGATAATAATCTTTCAGGTCAATTACATCATTGGTCGATTATTTTACAGGAAAATGAGAATATTTATAATATAATAAAAAAATTATAAATATTAAATTCAATATTCTTATAAATAGATGTTCTGTTTGCATGTCCACTTGATAGGAGTAATGGTTCCGCACAAGTAAATATATGTGAGTGGAAAATAATGGTAAAGAAACCGAAAAACGTAATAGCTATACGGTAAATTGGATCCGTTATAAATAAAAAGTAAATATATTCTTTAACAGTATCAATAGCGAAGTCCATTAAGATATGTCCATGGAGCCACGCCCACAAAACGCGGAAAACTGTGGCGTATATAGTATGAAAACGGATGTCTTCATTTGACTTTGTGATATGATACATATAGAAATAGTTTTAATGAACATATAATGTCCATTTCCACCATGTTTCAAAAACAGCATGCTTACATTACATTAACTCGTTAAAAAAATATTTTTATTATGTTTATTTTTAATATTTTTTTATTTTTTTTTATTTAAGTTAAAAATAATTAAGATGATGTCTGCTGAGACAATTGACCTTATAAAAACGCAGGTAGATATAACAGAAGACAGTAGACACTTAGAAAAGCTTGCAAGCCTATGCTTAAATTATATTAAACAGTTCGAAGATTTAAAGTCCGAATGTGTAAAAAATAATTCGTCACTGTTAAGAATTGGAGTAGTCGATCACGACTATTTTAAAAAGAAGCATTTTGAAGCCATGATGTCGTCATCTGAAAAAATTAAAACTAAAATTGAAGAAGCCCTGCAAAAGGCAGACAAAATTGAAATCGATCATAAAGTTAGTAGTAGCAGGTTAGAAAAAGCGATAGAGCAACTGAATATTAATTTAAAAGAAATCATAGAAGATATCAAATAGAATAAAGGTAAATCCTTTGATATTAGAGTTCAGAAAATTGATTTTTATTGGAAAAAACTAATTAGTCTAAAAGAAGTCAAAATGACTGATGTCACTGATAGGAGGTATGATGATAGTCTAGATGAGCTAGAATTTGATATTTTAACCGTCACAAATGACATATAAAAGAAACCCGCAAAAGGTAGGTGGTATAAATCAAGAAATGGATGAATTACCAACGCCACCAAAAATTCCGGTACCCACATTTTTTGGAGATTCCAAAGATTGGGATCAGAGAAGCAGTTTAAAATGTTTATTGAGACTATAAACGAGTCAATTCACATGATAAAATTAAAGGGACAAATTTCTGACGAGGTTGACAAAGAGGTTCTTTTATATGAAAGCCATTTAAAAAAACAAAATGAAATTCAACTGTTGTCCGAAAATAAAATTTTTAGAGTAAAGATTAAGTTCTAGAAAGAATACATTCAGTAACAGTTCAAAAGAATTGTTTACTAACAGCTGTTCCATTTGCAAAGGTGTGGGGCACCCAATATTGTATTGTAAAAAATGTAAAGCTTTAAATCCATCAGAAAGAATGGAAAAAGTTAAAAAGCTTCCTTATGTTTTAAATGTTTAAAACACTCATTTAACAAGAAATGCCAGAGCGGAATTTCATGCTCAATTTGCAATAAAAATCATCACAGCATGCTTTATATTAATTTCCAAAAACCGGAGAAAAAAGTAAATACACAAAGCAGCTCGAAAGTATACTTACTTCAATACGCAAGTCAATGCGCTGACTTTTGTAGAAGAGAGGATCGGCCAGCTCGAGATTTTCCGGTTTTTTCCATTTAGATGATAATCGGTGATTGACTGGGTAACGGCAGCTACGAGCGACGCGCTATACTTTTCATTACCTGACCGAGAGCCCGAATTAAGATAGGCCCAGCATGGTACGAATACGACAGCGCGGTTTTTGCGCGGTATTATTTGGCGACAAAGCTGCTGACAGTGGTTTGGCGGAGCTACAGAAACTAAAGATTCGGTATGTGTGGCATTTCAGGACAATGCTGCGGAAAGGGTGCAATGGGATGCGATTGCATATTCAGAAGAGTGTCATGTTGCTAGTGGCAGTTCCTACAGCTGCCAGATCTGCATTGCCGTAAGCTGTGTCCCTTCCATAGGCAATTTAAACAGAGATGCATCCGTTTAGCTTTATCGTAGCGCTGAGTTAAAGTCAATCCTAGAAATTGTGACCGTTTCGTCAAATAATGCTGCTTGAACTCACATAAGGCACGTAATGGTAATGCCGAAGACGAAGCAGGAAGAGTGTGCGATGTCTTTTAAGTCAATCCTAGAAATTGTGAGCATTTCGTCAAATAATGCTCCTTGAAGTCTTATAGGGTACGTAATAGTAATGCCGAAGACGAAACAGTAAAGGTCGGCGATGACTTTTACTACCTACATTTCCCACCTGTTTGCTATCTACATTTTCCACCTGTTTGCTAAGTGTCCAAGTTATCCATCATGCTGCATCGAAGATCGAAAAATGTGGAATATTTGTCCCATGCTGGCAGTTCCTTGGCAGGCACACCCTTCTCCCACCTCTCCTGGTTCTGTTCCAGCTTCGAAGAGATGAGATGGATTAAAACACCGTTACACTGTGCCTTGTCGCTCAATTGCCGCAAACTACTGGTGGATCTCTTCTCTACACCTGGTAGCTTGAATAATGACCGAACGAGTGCCTGGAAATGTGACAGTTTATTATCAAAGCGTAAAATCAATAAAATAATTCATAGGCCCTGTACATTTGACAAATCCTCGTTTGTTTCGGCAGTCTGGTAGGTCTTGAATTCAGTTGAATTTCTCGCTGTGTAAAAAGCGGCAGATTCCTACTTTTGTTTCGCAATATGCTGTGGTAAATCTTATGCGTGCGTCGGATGTCATCTGTGCAATTTCTAGCCGTTCGAGGTTAAGTTCAGAGCAGAAGTAGTCGGAATTCATTCTCTCGACTATCTCGAAGAAAAGAAGAAGCGGGTAGAATGGAACCGAAAACCGAAAATACCTCCGTTCAACAAGAGAAATTGTGTAACGCTCGACTTTGTGCAAAAGTTTGCGAACTGTTAAGCAACCGATGCTGACTATGGCTTACAGGTATATGCAAATACCGTACAAACGATGTGAATTGAATTTATGTTGTTGGCCCTTAAAAGCGAATTGTGTAAAATGCGCTTAGAACTTAATTACTTTTGTTTATTAACTTTTGCGTTGACGAACCGTCGGGGTCAACAAATGTTTTGATGAGGGCATTAATTTATGCTACCCTTTTCATAAATAATATATAAATAAATTAAAAGCGGTGCCGTGAACGGTGAAAAGAAAAGGCCGAAAGAGTTGTTTTCTATTTTTTATTTGCGCTACGCTGCGACTGCGCTTCTACAGCGACAAAGATCGAATGAGCCGAGCGATCAGCGACTCGGGTGAGCTTATATCTGCTTGTCAGCAGATAAATAGATAATTAAGCATACACTTGTTCTTGTCAGTGACCAAATTGTAATTAATGATTTTAGTATCAGCTAGATGACTTTTCCCGACAAGAGTTTTAATGAAAATTAATTTTAAATTTGGTGTTCCATTGGAAAGGTCTTGAAAAATGCTTTATCTTGACGTGTAAAATGGCTCTCCTGCTGCAAGGTGGGGAAAGGCGGTTGCCAGGTCCGAGCTTCCTTCGCTGTTGTAGATAGTGATGAAAAATCCTGTTTCCCTACTTTTGGATTTAAGGCTTAGACATTAATAGTTAGTATTTCTTGAAATTCGGTCATTAGTTCCCATTATAAAAAACTTTTTTATTTTGGCAACAACATCAACGGAGGTTGGTGATCGCCGCTAGCCAATGGAATCGTGCCCAGCATCCTAGGCATAGGTAATTTCGAGTATTTTGCTTTCACGAAACAAGCGTGGAATATATTTGCAGTTATTTTATTGTTTTTTTTATCTTTCGGTTAAGGGAGAATAGAAAAATATGCCCGTAATTGTGTTAACAGTTTAATGACAAAAAACTTATTTTCATATCTGACTACAACTTTTTTGATTCCGTTTTTGGAACTAAATATAATGCAGTCAGAGAAGGACGACAAAGTAGATTTTCAGAACGGAAAGCAAAGTGCTTCAGTAGAAAAATCAAGCCACATAATAAAAGTAAATAAACCGCAAATACATCGATTAAATAGTATTGCCACCACCTGCGTTCAGAGAAATATATTAATATTATTAAATTTAGGAGACCTATATAAGCTCACGTCATATTCCGGGAGGGAGTCTGTAGATGATAAGCCCCTTTGTGACGCATCACATACTCAGTCCAGTAAATAGCTGTTTCCAAAGCTGTTGATCGGTGGTCGAGTAAGAGTTTCTGGCGATACCGCGCCGCATTTCTGTATCTGGGATCGTGTATTACTTTCATAATAGTTTTGTACAGTTCATCAGCGGACAGCTTCTGAAGATCCAATTTTTCTGCATAACCATCGACCACGGCCTTAGCTGAGTTAACATCGTGATCGCAGAATACCGGCATTGTGACAACGGGCACTCCATGATATACCGTTTCAAACATGCTTAACAATCCTCCATGGGTTACAAACGCCCTTATCTTGGGATGCCCCAAAATGTCCTGTTGTGGTAGCCATCGTAAAAGTTTTACATTAGAAGTAAGGTCTTTTATGTCTGCAGAACTGCCTTCATACTTCCACAATACGTGATATGGAAGGCGGGCAAAAGTCTTTACAAGCATGTGACGCAGTCTCGCTGGCATGTTTACAGCTTTAACCGAAGAACCCATAGAAACATAAATGAATCCCGTAACTCCAGAAGCACTTATAAAGTCATCAATGTTACTAGGAAGTTTTTTGCTGGCTTACAATGAATGCAAGCCACTTCTGCCACATTGGGATTAAAGGGTCTAGGATACGAAAGGACTGGGTGACCGTTCTGCAAAATGAAGCTCACATTGCGTGACATCTCGTAAGGATGCGGTATATGGGCACCTAAATGCTTTCGTAATACACGATGTGTGCGACGCATTACATACTATTATTAAAAGGAAAAGGGGTTTAATAGAGGGAAAGTAAAAGTTCACGTACCACTCACCATATGCATCAGTGTTTGTCCGATTTGCATGGCCGTGTTGATTATTCGTTCATAAAGAGTCATTGTGTCCGTAAATCGAGAATAAAAGTTCGGAGTTATAGCATAGCTGACGGGGTTTCCTGCAGTGGAGATGCTGCCTGTGTAAAAGCCCACCGTGTTTATATACATGAACGGGATCTTGAAATGGTACATCATTCCCAAAAAGCACTCTGGGAAAGCACCGTCCAACATGGCCAAATCAAAGTTTCTGTTTGACAGTTCCATGATCTCAGAATCACCAAGCATAGCGTCGCATGACTGTTAACATAAAACAAATCATATATTGGTTAAGTCATCGAATAAGTGTTTTTTTAAGTTCCCATTGTTAAGGAAGCTATACATTTTCAATTTAGTCATACAATACATTACATTATATTATAGCAAGCTATTAAATTTATATCATTGTAGAGCCATAAGTAATGCTCTGAAGGACCCAATACTGCCTTGTTAAATATTTATACATTACCTCATATTGTTTATTGCAATGGTGTCATTTAAATATACATATATATATATATATATATATAATATAACTTAATGTTATCTATACGGTATACAGGTAAGTTTTACTGCTAGAACCAATCGTATTAGTTTTGAGTATACATAAGAGCCCAGGATGCACGTCATATAGTTATAAGAAGGATAAGAAACACAAGGATGGCAAATAAACTATCGATTAAAGACGCCTGAGAGTTCATTGAAAGTATATATCGTTGTGTGGGAAATACTGGTCAGGAAAACGGCAAGTGTAATAAATATGCAAGTTAATAATTTCTAAGGACATTGAGATTGGTGATAACGCTTAGGAAGTCGCTGCTCGGTAGTGCGTCGCAGTGGCTGTCGCCAATTTGTTTTCCTGGAATGCGCTGGTCGCAGTTACGAGAATTGTTCATGGAACGCTACGAAGGCAACGAGACACCGGCGGTAGTGTTGCTTAATATGCTCAAGGGACGTCCCAATGCAAATGAATGCCTCTCGGTGTATTCCAGTCGATTAATTACATTATTACCCATGAGGAGATCGCCAACAACTCAAGGCGCACACGTTCAGCAGAAATTTAGAACTTTCTGGAAAGAAGGGCCCGAAAAAAATAGGTTTAAAATGCAGACGCCGAGTAGATGTCATAATTGCGGAAAACTTGGACATAAAGCAAAAGAATGTCGCAAAAGAAGAACAGAAGAGCGAGACGACACTAGACTAGGCCATAGGAACAACATATCGATGATAGTGAGAGAGAGATCAACGGTGACTTGTTTCAAGTGTGGCGGCATTGGACATACCGCATCAGTGTGTACGAGGGGAACAGCAACAGCAAGCCGAAGTAGCAACGAAAGAAGAGTGGACATGTGCGCATTACTTCAGCCTAAAGGGACTGCAATTCAATTTGGTGAGAAATTTCCATTTTTCTTCGATTCGGGATCTGACTGCTCTCTGGTAAAAAAGACAGTCGGCGTGAAGCTAGCCGGAAAAAAATTAAATAACTTAGTAGTTTTGAGAGGCATAGGCGACAACATTGTCAAAAGCAACATCCAAATTCTGTTCATGTTGACTGATTATCTAGAAATCCCGTCACTGTAGCAGCGTAAGAAAGTTCAAGTAACGTAGAGGAAGTACGAGTTAAATTGGCAAGTATAACTCACAACTGGTTTATATCCGAACAAAAGCGTGATCAGGACGTAGCGCAAATCATGACAGATTTAAACAGTGATAAAATGCAGAAAGAAATAGCTAATTCTTATGAAGTCAGGAATAGTTTGCTGCATCGAAAAATTCAAGGAAATGGGCAATGACCTATCGTCCGGGCTCGCTCCGGCCAAAATGCTGACACAGCGTCTGGCCGGATGCCCGTGCATAGCCGTTAACTTTACTGAAGTGGAATGCTCAGATGCGCCACCTTAAGTCAGAAAAACATTTTTGAAAATGCTCTGCGACAGGAAAAAAACCTTCGCGGACCGACGAAACGGGAAAACGTAAAATTCGTCTCTTATTGGACTTTTGCGAATTGACCGAGAGGACAATACCTGATCGCTATCCCATGCCAAATATATCTTTGACACTAGGGAATTTAGGCAAAGCCAAAAACATCACAACGCTCGTTTTGAAGTCTAGCTACCACCAAATCACACTGGCAGAACCTGACCGTGAAAAACTTCCTTTTCCGTTAATGTAGGAAAGTGCGAGTTTCGCAGAATGCCATTTGGACTAAAAATGCTGCCAGCAGTTTCCAAAGAACTATAGACGATGTAGAGCAGATCGGCAAATTTTGTAATGTCTATGTTGATGATGTTATCGTCTTAGAGCACGAAAACTACCACATTCAGCACGTAGATTGGCTTCTCTAGAGCCTTTACGATGCTAATATGAGGATATCAACACAAAAATCTCAATTCTTCAAAAAAGAGTTAGTTTTTTGGGTTTTATAGTCACCGACAACGGGGCTACCAGAAAAAATCAACGCCACTTAGGAATTCCCTGAACCCAAAAACGTTTTCGAGGTTAGATCATTGCTGGGCATGGCCAGCTATTAAAGATGCTTTATTAAAGATTTTGCGTCAACAACTAGCCCATTTCGGACATCCTGAAAGGGGAATATGGTAGTGTCAGCAGACAGAGGTCCAAAATTATCCAGGTGCAGTTCAGCGAGCCGCAACGGCTAGCTTTTCATAAGATGCGTAACATTCTGGCTTCCGAGAATGTCATCCTCAGGTACCCCGACCATAAAAAAGCATTTGATCTAACGACAGATGCCTCAGCTTACGCCATTGGCGCGGTGCTATCCCAAGAGGGACAGCCCATTACTATGATATCGAGAACCTTAAAGGACAGAGAAGTTAACAGTGCCACCAATGGGAGGGAGCTGTTAGCAATAGTTTGGGCGCTGGCCAAATTACGTCACTAATAAAATATCAATATCTTTACTGACCATCAACCATCGCAGTATCGGAGTCCAATCCGAATACGAAAATCAAAAGGTGTACAGCCTGCATCGACGAGTCCGGCGCCCTCTCAAGACAGCAACATAACGTTTTGGGAGAGGAGGAAGCTTTTTGAAGCGTGGCCATGATTCACAGTGAGCTGTCGCTTACCCACACTATTAAGACCACGGGCAACCCTTTAAATTGTTTTCAGAACCAGATTACTCTGGAGGAAGCACGCTTTCCATCAAAACGCCGCTTCATACTCTTCGGAATCAAGAAACGACACAACATTGACATTCAAGAACCGGGTTACGGACATCTTTGCAGCCGCTGAGAGGCGAGAAATCCTCACTGTTAAGCACAGCAAGGCTCACAGATCGGCCCAAGATAATGTGAAGCAGATACTCTCCAAATATAACTTCCCGAAAACGGACAAACTAGCTAGAGAAATCGTCGCTAACTGCAAAACATGTGCTAAGGCTAAATATGACAGGCATCCCAAAAAGCATGTGCTTGGGGAAACGCTAGTCCCGTCCCATGTTGGGGAAATGTTCTACATAGACATCTTCTCAACGGACAAGAAGTATTTCTTACATGCATTGACCAATTCTCAAAATTTGCGATGGTCCAGCCAATCACCTCTAGAACTATAGAGGACATTAAACCGGCACTACTACAACTCATGAATGTTTCCCGAAAGCCAAACTCATATATTGCGATATCGAACCGTCATTGAATTCGCACACTATTATGACCATACTGGAAGCCCATTTCGGCCTTAGCATCTCGAATGCACCGCCCCTCCACAGTGTCTTAAACGGACAAGCACTCTATTAGAGCTTGCTACATGCCTTAAAATTTATAAAGGCCTCAGTGACACCGTCGATCTAATCTTGCTGGCCACAGCCAGATATAATAAATCTATCCATTCCGTCATTAATAAGAGGCCAGCCGACGTAATTCTAACACAGTCGGATAAACCACAGTATGAGGTTCAGAATAGGATAAAACTCACCCAAGATAAGCTTAGAAACATGGAAAATGCTTCCCGACAGAACAGGGTGGCGAAAAAGACCTGGTAAAATCCAACAGGCGGCTAGGAAACAAACACTTATCATTGTGTGAAGAGAAAATGGTAGAAGCGGACATGGGGACCACAGTCCTCATTAAGGGGAAGGGATTTTTAATTTTAGTCATGCTTAATTTTTCACTCTTTGGTGGTGGGATACCCCATTAGTTCAAACAATTACAATATATTCAAATTACAGGTTTATATCCATTCCCCTGCTATTCCTTCTTACCGCAACATCGGCGCATGTCACGGACTACTCTAAAGCTAAGTACATTCCCAATGTCGATGGTAGAATTTTAGTATGGGAGGAATTCGCTTACGTTTTACGAATTACGCGCTATAATAGAAACTGAAGCGATAACCAACATGTTCCCCCAATCACATATGCGAAAGCTTTTGAGCGTTGACACCGCTCATCAACGCGACCTGCTCGAATCTCTGAGCATTAACCTTAGAGTAGCCAGATGCTTAGACTTCTTAGGAACAGCATTAAAGATAGGGGCGGGAACATCAGACGCAGAAGATTTTGAATAAATTAAATTCAACGAATTCCAACTATATAATGCAAACAATAGACAAATAAATATCAACAACGAAGTACAAGACCAAATCAATAGAATTTCCACCACTGTCAACCAAATTCTGAGGTCGGCTAAAGAGTCCCAGGTCGACACGGGACATATATTCGAGATGTTGTTAACTCGAAATATAATGATGACAATAGAGTTGCAAAATCTTATGCTTGCAGTAGCTCTTGCCAAAGTCAATGTCGTTAGCTTTAGCATATTAAAACATACAGACCTAGAGAATGTGTGGTTGGAAGAGCCCACCGAGACTGCAATTTAAGATGTTTTGTCAGTAGCGTCCGTAAAAATCTTACAATCCACAAACGTTTTACATTTCATTATTAAATTTCCTAAAATCAAATCAGCCTGTAAGAGGATTACAGAGTATTAGAATTGCTCCACAACACCAGGGGTTACCTTTTGCCAGCTGGCGCTAAGAAGATCGTGAGTTTAGACCAACTGAGGCACTAAGAACGAACATGTTGTATGCTGATATAGCTCGACCAAAGGATATGCAAGTAAGCAGTGGCACTACTCTACAGAGTGATGCCATCCTTCCGATCCTAAGCTCAACCAAAAGTTCTCTGCGATAGATAATGCAATCCGTGACATCAATACCAAATTAAATACTCTATTTAAGTTGCTGCAGAATAATGCAGAGTCCAAGAAGGCTTTCAGAGAGCTGGTACAGGTTTTCATTGC